TCAATGTAGCATATGATGATTCCTTAGACTCATTTGGATCATAGACGTTAGGTAGCATGAATCGTTTCGGTTGTTTTTCGCATTTTAGGTTCCAAGTTGATAACTTTGAATACCTATGTTTTGTTGCATTACACTATATGCTCCTATGGTGTTAAATTGCATGAATGATGTGATTTATGCTAGAAATGCTTTAAGGTAGCTCAGGATGCTCCCTGAGTCTCACATTTGACATAGACGCTAGGTGGCATGACCGTATGAATTGATTTATATCAACTTAATAAGATTGTAAAACGTTAGGTCTTTGCATGCTCATCTTTTACGAGTAGCGTTATGTTACTCACTCACGTAGTGGGGACATTTTTCAGGTACATGAACCATGATTTGGGATGCACATCATGCCTTGGATGCTTGTAGACTTGAAGTATTTGATTCATGCAAATGTTAGCATGAAATGTTATTTTTGATTTAAAATGTCAAAACTTGTATATTTGCTTCTAAATATGTAATGTGTACATAAATACACCTTTTGAGTTGTATTTGACATGTATGTAATGAGGTTGTGGGCCAAGTACTTTTGTGATACTCCTTAATTTCGGAATACGGGTTTATCAAATCCGTGCACAAAACCAGGGGATATCAAAACAATTAAAGTATTTAAACAAGTACAGAATATAAAGATGAATAATAAAGAATAAATAAATCGCTGAAGAAAACTATTAAATAAAAGTTCCATTAATAATTCTCCAAAATTTACAACTCGGGAGTCTTGTAACTCAAGGACCTCTTAACAAAAGTCCACTATCCAGAAGTTCATTATTAAATACTAACATCAAATTAAAATAATAATAATATTCTACTTTTAAATAAACCGAAAGAATGGATAAGTCATCTAGCTGCGGATTCTCAATCTTGAGACTTGAACTTCTAATAACCTGAAAAATAAATCGTGAGTTAAACCCTACGAGCAAGTTCTCTCTTATTTTTCTAACGTGTAAAACTTTTAACCCTAAAGCCTTATGTGTATATTTATACACATTAAAATCCAAATCATATTCCAACTAGGATTATTAAATAAAATAGTAATCTTTAAATAATATATATCTATAAACATATATTATATTATACACACACACACACATATATATATATGTATCAATAAATATATCTTTCATAATTAACCATTGATCAATTAAATCATATATATGTATCAATATATATATATATATAAATATAATATTCTATATATATATATATTTATAATTATACAAAAATTATCATTTTAAATAATTAAATAATCATGGGCCTTTATTAATTAACCCAATAAGGTTTCATCCAAACCCAACACCACATCCATTGGTCCCACTTATCTTAAGCCCAATTCAATTAAAATAAAATAATTAATCTAAACACTCAATTAAATAAAAACAAATCATATAAAAAAATATAAAATAAAATCAATTAAACCCAATTAAATCAAATAAATCATTTAAAAATAAAATAAAAGTAATTAACCCCAATTAATAAATCCTTTAAAATGTCAAGGTATTACAACTTTTATTTTGTATTCTAAGTATTTTTACTTTAAGCTATTTCATTGAAAAATAGAAAAATGACATGCTTTAACTTCACTACATTTGCCATGGGTGGTGGGAAGTGGGCTTTAGCACTTCCATAGGGTCTCTTCATTTATGCATGAAGTGTGGCCAAGGACCAAACGGTCTTTTGAAACCATTTTATAATTTTAAGTTTCAAATTTCCTTTTTAAAGTCCACTTTAGGCAAATTTGAGCTTGGATAGGTCAAATTTTGCATCGGGCATTTATGAAGCCCACGGTTCATTACCGCGCATTTAAAATCACTAGTTACGTTTGCGTATATAATCGTTTTAGCACACAACACCATTTTAGGTCAAATGAACATTTGGAACAAAGTTGTATTTTTATCATTTTTGACCTAAACTGTCCAGGGGTATACTGGGCATTTCACAGTGCATTTTAAAATTTTCTTTCGACATGGTCGGTTCGAAAACTTAATTTTAGGGGAGTTTATTCTTTGTGTTTTTCCAAAAAAGTTCATCTTCAGGCTCTTTTTTGCTCTCAATTGCTACAAAGTGCTGCTGTCAACACTGTTGCTGTCATGGCATCAGCTGCATGCACAGCGCGCGCGCGGGTGTGCGTGTGGAGGCTTGCTCCCTTGGCCGCGACGTCACTGATTTTGTTTTTGGCTTTTCTCTTTCATCCGAACGCCGAATCAAGTGATTCTTGAGTCTAACTTTATTAATTTTTCGTTGTCTATCTAATGGTGTACTCGGTAGCACCCAAATCTTTCTAAAAATTACCATTTTGCCCCTAGGGCTAAACTTGTCTCTTTTTTTTTTTCAAAATGTCGCTTCCGCTTTGCTTCTTTTGGGTTCCGTGACTTCATGGGAAGTCACGCTTGTGTCTTAAGGATGATATACATTTCTAAAGACGTTGTTTCCATGTAAAAAGACCATTTTGCCCTTGAGGGCGTACTTGGCATTTTTCTGATCTTTTTTTTCCGCGTTGTTCTCGTTGAGTTCCGTGACCTCATGGAAGGTAACTTTGGTATCTTAGAGATGCATTGCATCTCTAGAGATTTGGTTTCTATTTTCACTTTTGAATTCAGACTCGTTATCGGGGTCAAACTTCAGTTCATCACAAGACACACTGGCTTGAAAAACCAGGGCCGTCACATTTTGACTTCAACTTTCATTTTATTTGATTTTCTTATTCTGTCCATACCAAATTTCTTTATTTCCTTTTCACATTTGCATCATTAATTGCGTTCTCTGAAATATACTAAAGATAGAAATATTTGTACAGCGAGAGATAATGAGCAAAGATGGCTGAAGAGAATAGTTTCTCGGCGGACGGGTGGTGCACTGAACTTACCGGCGACGACGTGGTGGTGTTGGTGACCCGATTCCGGCGACGGTGGCTGTGAACAACTTTGGGTCTTGGGTTTGGCTTGATGTTCTATTTTTCTGGGACTAGTATGTTGGTGGTGATGGCGATGGAGTGGTGACAATGGTGTCTAGGTTGGGGCTGTGACAGTAGTGTCTGGGTTAGGGACGGATCTAGAAATTTATATGGGGGTAGATTTATATAGAGGGCAGATACCCCCACTGAGCCCACAGTAGATCCGTCCTTAATCTAGGTTGGGGCTGTCATCATAGCTTTCTTCCTTTCTAAAATCCATTGTTGCCGTCGCTACCGTGGTCTAACTGCACGGCCTCATCGTTGTCAACATGGTGTGCCTTGGACTTGTCTTCGTGAAACACACCACTATCACCGTCGGCATCCATATGGCGTGAACAAAAATATTTTTTTTTGGAAAAGGAAACGGAATCAAACATGAGAAATTTAAGAAAAAAAATCAACATTTTTGGATTTGAATTTTGAGTTTTACTATGGTGTTCGAGGTTGTGTAGAGGGAGGAAGATAATATGAGGATAGAGGAGAAATAATTACAAAACAATACTTGGGTCCAACCGCATCCAACCTGCTAATGTGGCTCAATAAAATTGCGACAAATGTTAAAATTAAATATAAAATTAAATTGGGCATTGTCCTTACTTTTATTTTTGAACATGTGTTTTAAATCATAACTTTTGCTTAATTTTGGACAATCGTTTTAGATCTATTGGGCCACATCAACAGGTTGGATGTTCATCCAACTTGCATTGGACTCAAGTATTATTCATAATTATAGGGGTATTTAGACATTTTAATTGCTTTATTTAGTTGTCTTGCATAGGAATTTGTGAATTAAAATTGCTGACGTCATCCTTTTCCGTTATGTGTTTTTCGTTAATAAAAAGGTTTATGTTATGAGTATGAGTATACAAACATCGAGGGAGGTCCACTATTATTTGGCAAACAAGAGGGGAAATCAATGTATGATGATGAAATTTCAAGGGAGATCAGTATATTATCCCAAAGAAATACAAAACACATTCTTGTCATCTACTTTTTCATTTTTTTTTTCTTGATTTGAGAAGAAATACATTTGTGTTGTGTTCGGTTATATGAAATTGAAGTTTTGGAATAAAAATTTGTAGAATTTGAAAAAAACAACTTATAAAATGAAATCAAAATTTTCTTAAATTCCACTGATTATAATTCCAAACATTACCTTACACATATTTTGTTCACTGACTCCAATTCCTCCCCTCTTCTTTGAAGGGGGTTGTAATGTGTTTTTTTTAGTCAAGAAACACACTCTCACTTTGTTCCTTATTAGAAGAGGAGAAACCACAAGGCCTGGTGGGTTGTCATGTGGTTTTAATGACCGCATTTTGGGTACAAAATTTTAAATTGCTTATATAAACAGGGTACAAAATATTAAATTGTCATAAACATTTTATTACAACAATGTAAGCAATTTGATCACATCATCAAATTGCTTATATTGCATCATTAAAGGACACTTCAACTTTAAACGGTTAGGTTAGGGATTGGCTTTGGGCATTTCCTTTTTAAGGAAGGATGAGATCTTGGATCCCTTTCAGGAATTTCTATATCAATTTCTACATAATTGAAGCATAATAAAAGATCGAATCAAAAGATGAGAAGCCATTCATGAGCCAAGCACACCTATGTATGATTAATGTCATGACCAGTGCCTTTCACATTAGAAACCCCTGTGGAAGGCTATTGGGAAGTTAGATCCAGGTCCTCTGGGAAAATATGAACTGGTGGGCACCAAGTCAAGGGTATCAATGTCCAAAATTTCATATACATGCTGAAAACAAGTGCATCAACGCATTTTAATTCAACAGTTAAATACACACAAGAACATTGGTCGATTTGCTACACCTGTGGAGAAGTTCCGACGTTGTTTTCGAATTGTGATGTTCAGTCACAATGGAACAACATATCATCGCGGTCGATGGCTCGTCAGTTGTACCAAAAGTTTAAACTCCTGAGAAATAACTGATGTATGACATATTCTCATAATTAAGACATGTATGATTAGGCATTGGAAAGAATCATTGTCATTCATCTCCCATAAAGTAGTACTGGTGATGAAGGGGGAATACTTTCTTTTATGATGATACAAATCGTGCAAAAGTACAACTCAATTTATTACAACAAGGCAGAGTAACTAGTTAAGCATAAGAGTGCTAGCTAGCTACTACTCAACTACTACGTACGTACATTGTAACACTCTCACTAAACTCTTCAATAGTCTTGCACAATGTGCATGCAACACTGTGCTAACAACAAAAAGGAAAAAAAGACAACACCAAGAAATTAACTCTGTTTTACAATGGTGATCGAGTTACTTAATGGGCTTCATTGTGTTGAAAAAAGTGTATGGTTCACTGCAGGTAGAGCAATTGCTGCTCGCAAAGTGGAAACTCGGCTCTCTAGGAACTGTCAAAGGCCGGTTTGATCTGCAAAATAGAAAAATGAAAAGAGCAAGTCTATCATGAGAACAACAAGGGCTCTCTAACCCTCCAACTGTGAGCATGTCCCTCAGTCGTTAGATTGAGAGTAACCGCTAAGGGAACATGGTCATGGTAATAAATAAATAGTGGTAGATTGAGATGAAAATTATGAACAATTGGTGTGACAAAGCTTTGATTTGGTTGAATATATTAATCGATGTTTAACCTTTGTGGAAAGAAGGGTCTGTCAAATAGAGGCATCAATTGAGCTCTAGGAATCATCTCTTTTCTCAGCATTCTAATCTCTTCCTCCTCTATCATCTGCTCCAAGTTCAATATTTCATCAAGAATACATTAGCATATTATATATGTACTGATGTACATATATATAATTAAGCTTAATTAATATTTTACAAAGAAGCTTTTCAACCTTTTGCAGCTTCTCCACTTGTTTCTTCTGTTGCTCCAAAAGATATAGCTTGGTTGCAACCTAATACATACATATATATGATGTATATATAAACTAGTTTAAACAAAGTTTGGTATAAGTTGACTCTAAAAATAAGGTTAAATGAGACAAGTTTACATGTTTTTCAACATGCTAGATATATAGCTGCATGGAAGCAAATTTTTTATTAACACGCACCGAGTAATTGAACATTGCACGCTTGACCGCCCTCTGCTGAGTGTGGAGCTTGATTTCCTGTGGCTTGGTGTTTTCTTTTGCTGGGGATTTCGGAGAAACCTAAGACACAATTTTTTTTTTTTATGCTAGCTTCTCAAAATTTTCTGCTCTTTTTCTTGTTTTGAGATCATATACATATAGAATCATAACGGCATATGTGAAATTAGAAATATTCAACTCATTTTTTAACTGTGAAAAACATTCCCAAAACACTATTTTTAGTTAAATTATCCAATTAGACACAACTTATAGTAAGAAAAAAAAAATACTTTATGCTAAAATTAAAGAATATATTTCTTTGCTTTATATATAGAACAGGTAATTAAAGTCCTACCAAAGATGGTTTTTTGGTGGCCAGTGGAGGTGGAGATTTCTGTCTCATCACTCCTCTAGGAGAGGATTGAACTGCAATCTGTGAACTAGTCTTCGCGAACTTAAATAAAAAAAAAAAACGAAAACGAAAACACAATTCAGAAGACAAATTTAGTAAAAAGAAAGAAAGAATATAAGAAATTAAGAAGAAGCATACTGACCTTTGGGGAATATTTGGAGTTTGGTGTGTCCATGATGATTGAGCTGATGAGTTGTGAGTTCAACTGAACTTAAATATGCATGCATATAAAAGATGTCTGGAGGTTTGGAGACTTGTCATCCATCTGGGTGTTACTTTAATTTGTTGTCTGTTGATACATCACAGCATATAATGTATGTTGATCAGAATATATGTCCTCTCTTGCACCAAACTTTCTGATTAAACCTCCCTCTCATACATATTAGTCTTACCATACCATTCTCAGTTTCTTCAGATCTCCTCTTTTAATAAAGACGATGTTATTAGGCTCCTAATAACTAACTTAACAACTTGATTATCTCTATTCTAAGCATTGATTACTGCTATTACAAGAACATGTCCATATGAGGACAATATTATATCAGCATAATTAGCTTCTGCATGTGTTTATACAAAAATTGAAATATATATATATATATATATATGGTTTTCAAATTGGGTGACAAGTCAGTGGAGTTGGGAGTTAAGCTAGCAAGCACCATGAATAGCAAGGAGTACAATATTTGAGTGAAATTTCTATAAATTCAACTTAATTGAGAAAACTTTGGTGTTAAAATTCAATAAGATTTTTAAAGAACAACCATGACATTTTACAACTGTCTGGTTCAATAGTATAGCTAAATTAGCCAAATATGTCTACTGTGTTAGTGATGAATGATGATTTTATGCTTTGTAATGTTCCTCTGGATGTGAGGTTGGATACAAACAGAGATTGTAAATTGTTTCTATATTGAGTTAATTATATGTTCTGGTTTATCAAGGAAAAAAAAAAAAGGGAAGAAAAAGGAAGTGGTGTATATATATACATATATATAGAGAGAGAGAGAGAGAGAGAGAGAGAGCACATATATGGTACAAAACAATGCTTCAATGTCACAATCATTCTGTGGCTAAAATGGGCCAAGTTAACCAAAGAGTTGTTAACAGCCCATTTTCAAGTATTTCTTGTTAATTCCGTTAACTAACCAAGGGGGAATTAAAGAAAGGCAAAATTGTGTAACTGGTCATGCAGTCATTAGGACATGAAATAGTGTATTGTCATATAGTTAGGTCATGATTAGAAAATCAACCAACTAATGAAATGCTTGTTTTTTAAGCTTGTGTGAATTCAATCATAACTTTTAACTATGCAGATCTGCACCGTAACGTATTCTCTATTTGACCCTTAAATTGGAGGAAATGAGATATTTTTTAGGGATGGTAAATGGGCAGGTTGGGTGGGTTGGGTTGGGTTAAATATAAGCAGATTAAATATGGATTGTGAACCATGTTCAATCGGTTTGTAATGGGTTGAATATGGGTGGGGTTAAAATGAACCGGGTCGACCTGGCATGATCCACTAATCGTTTTAGGGAGAAAAAATGTTATTATTTTGAATAATCTCATAATTATATTTTTTATTTTTATTTATTTATTTTAGACAACCGTGGGTGTCCGAATTATATATTTTTTATTTTAGATGGATAAAAACTTGTAAAAAGATGTATGTATATTAGTAAATCCTCCAATTTCTTTTAAAATTCTTTAAGTTTATATTATTTTATTTTATGACTAGACATGAATGAAGATAAGATATATATATATATATATATATATATATGAAATCATTTGTTAAGCTTTTTATAGGATAAATAATTAAATGAATACACGCGAATACATTGTATATGTGTTGTGGATATAGTAAAGCAATACTACAGTACTATAATGAATTTTAGAACGAGAGAAAGAGGATGATGCAGGGTGAATCTTAGAGAGAATTTGAGAGAGAGTGTGAGAGATAAGAGAGAATTTGGGATAATGTGAGATAATTTTAGTGAAGAAAAAGAGGTGATTGAGTCAAATAAGTGAAAATGGGTCTCTTATATAATTGGATGAAATATGGGTGACCCATATTCAATTTATTTAACTCTCTATAAAAATGGGTTAAATATGAGTCACCCATTTTGACTCATATTTTAAAATGGTTCACCCATATCTATTTTAAAGAGGGCGAATATGGACGGGTTAATGGGTCATGACCAATTTTGCCACCCTTAGGCTCCGTTTGTTTCGACGTAAAATATTTTTTTCAATTTTTTTTTTTTTTTTTTTCATTTTTTAGGTAAAATATTTTTTGGTATTTGATAAAGGTCTAGGTCGAAGTTGAGGCGGGACGTATAAAATAACTTACCAATAATTAATGGATAAGTTATTTTTGTTAAATTTTAATTATTTTTTTCTTCGTAAATATTTTACGACAATTAAACACTAGAAAATAAAAAAATATTTTTTAAAAAATATTTTACGTCCAAACAAACGGATTCAATTTTACAAAAATAATTTATCCATCAATTTTAGGTAGGTTATTTTACATGTCCCACCCGATGGATTCGACTTCAACTTCTACATAGACCTTTTTCAAATACTGATAAAATAAAAATAAAAGAATATTTTACCTAAAAAAAAATATATTTTTAAAAAATAATATTTCACGTCGAAATAAATCACGCCTAGAGTGTAATAATAAAATCAAAAGTTAAGTTTAGCTCATTTGACTAATGGCTTTTGCTCAGTTATATTACTAATTTTACATTAGTTTTACACTTTAACTATAGTTTACAGTGTTTGAGGTTAATTTAAAAAATTCTCTTCATTTTTTTTTTTTTTTCAATTTGGAGAGGGAAAATTCTCATGTCATGCGTTATTAAGTTTCATGGCGGAGATAATTAATCGTGGTTTGCTTAGTGATTTTTAAAGATCATAGTTGACTAGGATGGAACACAAATATTTTAGGCATTTTCTAACCTGACGTTGGTATCTTTAATTTTTAGGGTTGGGCTGCACTAAGGGCAAACTATTTTTACTATTTTAAATTGAGGTGGAGCTAAGGATCTGATCTCTAATGGCCTTCCACTAATTCAAATCTAGTGGATGATAATCAGCTTTATGTGCTACTCTGACTCATACCTATTGCAACCGTGAGTTACCTTGCCACTATTTAAACCAGCACAACAAAAAAGAACAAAATCAGTTATCATTATGAACAATTAATTTATTTATTATTTAAGAATTAGTACCTTCTCCTATTGAGTTTATTTCCATCCAGATCAACTACTTAACCCAACAATCTCTTTTCCTCCCAATCAAGTATATTAATTCGTTGACCTGATGAATCAAATTAAGTGTTTGCAACTTCATTTCCAAAACAAGTATATGATCCTTTCTCAATTTGTATCGGTTTTTTTAATGCTATCTATAGTATTTTTTAACATCACTTAATTCTTTCATCTATTTAAAGGTATTTTTCTCTTTAATAGACAGATAGAATGCATTATAATTCATACTTTGTGTCAAATTCATGTCGAAAAAAAACAATATATATTTGTTCTCTCCTATGAATTCTTTTTTTTTTTGTAAAATATCATCAAATAACTAATAAATTTAGTTTCTATTCTAACACGAAACGAAAAGAACAATATACAGGATGTGTAGAAAGAGTTTGTGATACTTGACTCGATGCGTGAAATAATTCATCGATGCGACAAGTCCCATTTGGTTCTCTTTGTAATGACAAATAACCTACTTAACTCAATGGTTTCTTACTTCAAAAGGGTACACTTTTTCAGACGATCTATTGTCATCTAAATATGTGCAATCTTAGACCATCTCCAATACATAAAGTTATTTGTGTATGTCAAATCTATATTTTGAGAGGTGCTACAATGTCAAAATTATATATTTTAGTAATTCTACTCCAATGATGCATTGTTATTTTTTGACACAAGCACTTTTTTTTTTTTCAACAACCCTTCCCAACTTCCATTTTCAACCACCATTATTTTTCCATTGCAAATATAGATTTGGCATGAGAAAGAGATGAGAGAGAAACAGATTCACCGAATGTCATGCCATGACCCAGAACCACGGCGACGGTGGAGGGAGCTACAATCGGACCACTCAGAGACTATGGCGGAGTGAGCCATGATCGGACCACTCAGAACCACGATCGGACCACCTAGAACCACGGCGGAGGGAGCCACGATCGGACCACGGTGACGTGCGAAAGTGGCCATGGGGCCGATTCGCCGCCGAGATCAAAGACCCCTGGAAGAAGGCCCGAGTTTGGCTCGGCACCTTCGACTCTGCCGACGCCGTTGCACGCGCCTACGACACCGCCGCTAGGTCTCTCCGTGGCCCTAAGGCCAGATCGTTGAATCCGTCGCCGAAGTTTTAAAATAGCTTAAACTTGTGGTTGACAGCAGATATCGCGTAGGCAGATCGTGGGCTGTCCTCTTGTCTCTCTCTGTGTAAATTGGATGCTTAAACTCTCTCTCTCTATCTATTTCTCTCTATATGTATATATTTGTTATGTGAGTACTGAATATTGGTACAATGAACACGGAATGATCACAGATATTGTTGCAGATGAGAGGGAGAGAGAGATGACAGAGATCGCAATATTGAGGGATAGAAAAAGCAACAGGGGATTGAGGGAGATAGAAAGAAACGGCGTCGTAGGGTATTAAAAGAGATTTGTCAAAAAAAATTGGCAGCTCCTACATTTGAGAGAAAATTTGAAAATTTTAAATTTTGAGTGGCCAAATGAAAGGCCATTGGAGTATTCCTTCTTATCCATCTCTCAAATTATGAGTTTGAGAGCCCAAAATGAAACAACATTGGAGTCGCAGAATCTTCTCTGATCTACCAATTTATATATACAAGCTCTTTAATATTTTAAATTCTCTCTACAATATCCTGCATTCTCTACACAAATATAAAAGACTTTGGAACCCAATTATTCATATCTACCATATAGGCGTAAAAATCTTTTCAATGACGCAACCTCTCTGTGCGCGTATAAACAGCACTTGATATAGAATGACAATAATTAGTAAGAAAGCAAATGCTTTCTCCAACACATCTGATCCCCTCTAACAATTCTACATTTTAAACTGAAAATAATTTAATTAAATTTTATTTAATTTCAAATCTAAGGCAGTGATTGGATGCTTCAAGCATAGTAGAGTCTGTAAGTGGTACGCGTTGTGATGTTGATTTTAAATCAATACTTACGAAATAACTAGGCTAAGTAAGAAGGAAAATGGTATGTGAGTGAAGACAACACAGTCGAGGAGTTGAGGGCCGAATTTTTTTTTTTTTTTTATGGTAAAACAAATACACACACTTTTTTGGTCCACGCTGAATTCGAACTCCTCTCCTCTTTTCTAAAGATAGAGTGATTATGTCATTGGACCAAAGGTCCTTTGGTGAGGTCGGACTTGTCCAGTCCATGACCACAACCTAGATGCATTAAGTGGGCCGTGTTGTGTCGGTGAGTATTGTACTACTACTACTCCAGCAATGATTCTCATATTTTTAGACTTGTAACAATTGATGACATTAAAAGGAAGGTGACCCACATTGTTCAGACAAAAATTCACAGAAAGATAGATTTTTGCCCTTTTCTCTCCTTTAGTGGAAGCCTTTTGTATTGTCTTTAGTTGTGAAAGATCTAGTGCATGCATCACATGGGATGTTCACAGACCTGAAATCACCAATGTTTTTCTCTCTCTCTTTCTTCTGATGAGAGAGTTTCAGAGAGAGAATAGACAGACTGGGTGATACTGTCTCGTCCAGGTTAAGACCTTGAGAGTGACTAGAGCATCTGCAATCACTTACAACTGGTGGCACTGAAAATCATGGTATTTTATTGGCATTTAAAATGGGTACCCTCCCATGAAAGGGACAGTTGAGCAACTTGGAAGAACATAGCTTTAATCCCATCCCACAGAACCCTGCATGCTCACATTATTTACATATATTGAATACATTCAATATATATACAGTGAAAAGAAACAACGCATGCTTCCGTACACAGTAGTGAAATTGTGGTATTTATTTATCTCTCTCTGCTAGCTGCATTTATCCCTTTGCTCCATCACATATGTACCAACTAAAAAACAAACATATATTCCGTTTAAGGATAGAAAGATTGAAATCAAGCGATGACATGACCAAACTTAAAAATTAATCTTAAATGAATCTTCAAACACAATACACATTGCTCAATGATCAAGGTCATGAAGAGGCCTTTTCGATCAAATTATTTTCCTCTAATCTTTAAAACACAAAGCATGCATAAGGCTCTCATCCTCTCCTTCACCAATTCGATCTCTAATGGCCAATAGAGGACACATAACTCGCAAATGGGGAGTGCTCGCCACAGCTCGCCTCTTTCGTTATGAGCTGCAAGTACTGTTTCTTGCAAGCATTGCATGTTATCTGTAGTGTGTTAGGATTAATTTGTCTCATCGCTCGCTCTTTCAGAACCCCTGCCTTGCTCAGTTCCGATAGAGCTTGTTCTCTGATTCTATTCGCATTTATCATCTCCTGCTTTGCCATTTCGATCTGCCAATTTGCTTGTTGCCTCCTCTTTTCCACAAAGGCCTTCTCCTCTGCAGATATCTGTAGCTGTTTTCGCGCTTCATCTTTCAGTCTTCGTAGCACTGCTAATGGATCTTCGGTATTTATTCCAATCCTTTCCATCAAATGGGCTTTGGAAGCATCTTTGTTCATTCTTGAACTGTTTGATTCATTTTTCTCAACATGACTCGCAGACCCAACTGAGAGTTTTAATTGGGTACAAAGAGGTACACTTGTGACGGTTGGGAGAGGTTTTGATGATGAGGTTAACTTTTGAAGCTCAAAATTATGATGCATCATTGTTTTTTGTTTTAGCATTAATGTTGAATTGGGAAGAGGGGCTTTGCGGGAATTTGTGTTGATTGATAAGGTTGGGCTCTGCAATAAGAAAGCTGGTTTTGGTGCTTTGCATGTATCCTGGTGCTCAATGAAGGTCTCAACTCTGAAAACAAAAAGAGAATTACAAAAAGAAAAAGAAAATGGAAGCGATTAGATTTCATTAAGCAAACAAAACTTACTTTCAAACATGACAATGATTAAATATTACTAGTACGGAAGAAGGCGATTTAATGTGACCAGCAATAACTGTTTTTATTTAAATCTCTCTCTCTCACACACACCACGTATCTCTGTACAACTTTTCTTTCTGAGTTGTTTAGCAGGAGAAAAAAAAAAAAAAAAGGACTACATAGTCTGCATACATATATATATATTGTTCCTTTAAACCAATGGTCATTGCAACTACTTTTCTGATAAATTTTTTGAATGTACATCATTACATATAACCTTGTAAATGGAATCAATAAGAACTTGAAGATCAACAAATTAATAAAGAAAAACCTGGAGAAAACACGGCCACAGTCACAAGAATGGCCTCTGGTGCCACAGGTTTTGAGGTGAGCCTTGAGATCGGATTGGATGGCATAACCTTTGGAGCATTTTTCACAAACCCACTGCCTCTGGTTGGTGTGTTTCCTTTTGAAATGCTTCTTTATGCCCAAAAGATCACCTAGGGCATGGCACGGCTCATGGTGCAAGCAGGTTGGCTCCGGACACACATAAACGCGCTTTGCAGCGTCTATAGCTAGCACATCTCTCTTTAATAGCTTCCAAGGGACATTGTGGTGCCGCCTGTGCATCTGGAGGTTCTGCTCCCTAGGGAACCCTTGGTTGCAGATTTCACAAGTATAACTATCTGTTTCCATTAACGTCTCAGACGATAGCAATATGACTTCTGCACCGGGATCTACAATACCCAATTCAACTCAACTCAACAAATCCTTAATACGGATGAAAAAAATACAAAATAAAGAAGAACACCCAATTCAACACATGAAACAAGAAAACATATCAGTTATATATACAATGAAGAGAAGCCTGAAAAAAATAAACTAAAACTATGTTTGGAAATACTGAATCAGCTTCTTGAATTTGAAATTGAACAAAATTTAGCTCAACATAGCCGCACTCTCACCTGGAGTCCCTGCAGGCCTTCTTTTCTTCTTGCAAGTAAATCCATTTTGTGAGCAGATAAAAACATCACCAGAAGGAATAGCTGAGGATTGGCCTCCTAGCATGAGCAAATGAGAGCTTTGCGACAATTATCTCCTCAAAATATATACTAGGTTAAACCTACTATACTTTTATGCATACATATGTTATATAGAGAGCATTTGTTTAGACATTTAGTTAGCTAGTTTTGTACTACCACCTTAGTTTCATCTAGGTCTTATTTTGGGAAGGTAGGGTTAAGAGGGTCCTGAATTATTTTTCTAAGTCACGTAAAAACTCTCGGTAAGGTAGGGTGCTGAATTATTATTCTAAGTCACGTGAAACTTCGGGTAAGGTAGGGTAAAGAGGGTGTTGAATTATTATCTTAAATTATTCGGGTACGGTAGGGTAAAGAGGGTTGAATTATTATCTTAAATTATGTGAAGCGTGAGCGGGAATAAGAGCAAATTTGAGAAAAGAAACGTGAATGTAGTAAAATTAAATTACAAATAATAAAAAATAAATAAAAAGAATGTGCACGAAAGGTGAAAATTAAGATTAACAATGAGAGCGTGCTTAAGGTGTAAAACAGCTTATGACTGTATAACTTATTACTTCATATTAGTTTTTAATTTTTTTCCTACCGCAGGCTCAATAAATGCGAGGGGCATCTCAGCCATTGTAATCATTATTTCACTGAATAAAGATGGGAAGAATCTGTGGAAAAGACTTGTTCCGACCAATTTACTGTAGATGCTTTATCATGAAAAATGCGGGCCCGACTTTACTCCAATCCTGCAGCGGCGTTAATTCAATAGTCAATACACTAGCTGGCTACAGAGTGTGTGTATTTATATATATATATATATATGAAAATATACTCGATATCAATGATACTTGGATCGATGTTATCGATGGTCTTATTTGTTTTATTTTTAATAAATAAATTTAAATAAACAGTTTAAATATCATATATATATATATTATAACATCGATCCAAGTATATATATATATAGGGAGGCTATATTATCACTTTTACACTCCAATTTAAAAGAATATGATCGCCTCTTCTAATCTTAGTTTCGTAAGTAAATTTATTTATTTATTTATTTATTATTATTATTATTATTATTTTTTCAAATTACACAACCATCTCTATTAGATATGGTTGGTATCCTCACTCTCTCTAATCTTTAATATTTTGCAATAAAATCTTAAATATTTAATTTTTTTAAAGTATTATTTAAAATCCTTAACCACATGGTATGAGATATATATATATATATATATTGTTTTTTTTTTTCTCACTCTCTAATCTTTAATGTTTTCAATAGAATCTTAAATATTTAATTTTTATAAAATATTATTTAAAATCCTTAGCCACCTTGTATGAGAGAATTTTTTGTTTGTTTGTTTGTTTATATTTTTAGTAAAAAAAAAATAATAGTGTAATTCATTGTTAATAGATTAATATTTTATATCCTGTTAGATACATTATTCTTCTTAGGATAATTAGATATCAATAAAATAATTTTACTTGATTTTAATCAACCACAACTTAACTTATAAGTAGATTTGTCAATTTTATTCATATTTTTATTTTACAAAATTATCTAAAAAATAATTTTACATGATTCTAATCGATCACAAGTTAATTTATAAGTAGACTTGTCAATTTTATTCATATTTTAATTTTACATATTAAATTATAGTTGGTCAAAATCATAGAGTCCCGAATCTTATAATAATTATTTAAAAAGATAATTTGCTGTTTCTTAAATAAATAAATAAAGGGTGGCGAAGGTGGTTAGGACTAGTCAATTCAATACTCCCGTCATCACACCTAGCCTCATGATGCGTTCTAAAATCCTCCTTCCAGGTACATTGAGAAGCATCATAGTACAGAGTTATAAAACCTTTTATATTTTTTTTTATTGCCCAACTTACTTTAAACTTCATTCATCTCAAAATAATTGCCTGTGACTCACAATTGTGAGTGAGTCATAGTTTCTTGGTTCTTTTTTTTTTTTTTTTTTTATCCATTAACGTAGACAGGTTGGATTGAACTCCTAATCATCTTGCCAGGTGGAAAACTCATTGGCCGGATAGTAAACTCATCATTTTAAAGGAAAAATAAAGTTAAAAATAATGAGAGCAAATTACCTCAAACTCCCTTGATATTTGCTTTTATTACTCTCGAATTAAACTACTGAAAAAATAATAATAATAATAAACTTTCCTGAAATTTGATTGACCCCATAGTTAATCAAGTTAAAAACCAGTTAAATAAATAAAGTGAACTGCCAAAACTACCCTTACACCAACAATATTTGTCGTAAAATGACAAAATGAACCTTTCTCACCTTTTCAAGTTACCATTTTGGGCAATGAAATTAAGGGCAATTTAATTCATTAGATAGCGGATACAATTGAAATTTCAACGCCACCTTTAAGAAACCTTAACCACGGGAGGGATGAACGGTGACCATATTTGTCTCTAGCACCTGTGAAAGAGCTCAAAGAATATGGTGGTATATATGGTATTGTACCAATTATAACAATGCTTGAAGAGTAAAGAGCCACGTAATTCCTGGAGAAGATACTCAAGACAGGATAAACCCCCTACAACTTTAACCTAATGGGTAAAATTTAGCAAAACATCGCATATACAACACTCACACAGAGAAAGAGAAAGAGAAAGAGAAGACAGAGAGGTGTCTGTTGTTAGGTCAATAAAAATAAAGCTGCAGCAAATATTTGTTTGTTGTGGTGAAGAATGAAAGAACGTGAATGTCCTGAAGGACGACAATGGACTGACGGAGGATCTCCCCCACAGGCAGAGCATATCAAGAGAATGATTGTCTTGGTTAAATCATCCTCTCCATCCACTATTCTAGATTCCATTCCAATATTTACCTTGACCGTCCCATCTATTGTGCCAGGATCCTCTGCGGTAGTGATTTGGTGCTATAGTGGTGCTGTAACGATTTTCAACGTCATTACATTTGTTTTCAACACCTTTATATCTACTTGTTGAAAAATAAAGTGTAATAACTACTACTTTGAAAAAGCATATATGAATGAAATGAAAAGAAGATATAATGTGTTGAAACTTGAAAGATGTACAACACACACCACTACAGCGTGAGCAATTACAACAAAGGATACAGGAGTATTATGCACTGCAGAGCAGCCTCTATCTATTTCCACATTTTATTGTCAATTATCTTGTTACCTTCACATCAACTAAAGAGTAAGCATTCATTGTTCTTGTGGCTCTTTAATTTTAGAGATTTGGCTTTGTCAAATCAGCAAAGATTATTTCAAATTGAATAACAACTAATCTTTACTGAAATTTCATTCATTTCTTGTGATACCCCTCGATTCTAGAGCCACAGGTGATCAAGTCCGAGCACAGATCTGAGGGATATCAAACAATTAATATTTAAACAAACATTTGAATACAAAAAGAATAATAAAGAATTAAATAAATAATCAGCTGAAGAAAACTAAATAATAAATTCTTATTTTAAAATCCTCAAATAAAAATAATTAAAAATCCCATACTAAAATCCTCCAATCCTCTGATACCAGTAATTAATTCTATAATACTGTTGTTTCATGAGCCATATTTGATATAGATTTCTTTATTTATGTTTATTTTCCCCGGTATGGGATATAAATTTATTTTCCTAGTAATGAACATGGTTCATTGTTGAATCCAAGTAAATAATTGGTGCTCCTATAAACAAAAATGTAAGCAAGTTAGAAGAGCTACTTCATATATTTGGCTATTGAGAGAGTGCCAAAACTCAAGAGTTGTCCAACTATGAGAGAGTGTATGGGAGTGTATAGACTAAAAATATACCTAACTAGCCGAGACAAGGTGCCTCTACCTATGGGGTCTACTCTCTCTCAAGAGTGATCTCCACCCTCTCCGGTGCATTAGACAGACCCTCTAATACACAGGTGAGATCCAAATTCCTCCGAGAAAGCCTAGCAAGTCTATATCAGCTTGTCATGTCTGGTGATCTAGCAGCCCGTTTGTCCAATGGGTTTTGACCATGTTGAGTGAGTCATTTGATACAGCTTAACACCTTCCCAAATGGGTCCAAAAACATTGCATACCCACATGACCCACTGGACATCCACCCGGCTGCACATTTTATGGGTTAACAGTTGATTATGGAGGCCAAAACCCCTAAACTTGTAAGGGGATGTTATTGATGTCAACAGCATCTCTATTATTCTTCAGATACCATCCATTCTAGGATAACTGATTCAAACTCGGTCTGTATAAAAGTAACACCTACAAATAAAGGTCATAAATATGTCACTAGTTGCTAAGACATGATCTTCAAAAACAATTGCCACAAATGAAGAACCCCACTTACAGCCTGTCAAAATGCTGCCCAGGGATCGGACACCGCTCCTCAAAGCCAAAGCACTGTATTTTATTGAAGCAGACTGCAGACTGAAAAATAACACAAATTATAGAAATACGAAGACAAACAAATTGGAGAATTTTTCATGTTATGAAATTGATATAAAACTAGATTTAAACTTTACATGAAGACTATTGGACTTTCACAAGGGGTTGTGCATCTAAACTCTCAATTTAGTACTCCCATTCGCCCCAAGCTTCTAACCTCATAAATCCAGTACTTTCCAAACTAACCATTAAATTGAATATCAAACATTCTCCACCCACCACAACACCACCAGATACAGTACTGTATATGATATGCATAAGAAATATATTAAATAGGATTCTGAAAAGAAAAAATAACCACAAAACAAAATTCATTAAGTCTGAAGGTAAATTATTCATGATAAAAAAAAAAATCAAGGAGATGCCAATTTTGGGCCTCACTTTTATTCTCTTTCTTCTAATCACTTTGCTAGTAAAACTAAATTGTGCCTCAGGCAACATTTTATCCCATAGCATTAGCTTTCTCTCTCCAGAACTTCAAAAAAGTTTCACCCCAAAACTTGGCTGTCCAATGATATGAAATGGGTTGACGATGTAGAAGGTCCTTGGACACTTTCTAATGTGACCATATAAATACTGGATTTATGTAGCAAAGTAGAATGTACTTTAGCATGGGACCCAGCTTCAACTCCAAAGGGCATCTTTAGCTAAAAGTTTAAAACTAAGATTTTGAAATTGTCATTCCTCCCTAGTTGGTTTGTTCAATGGTGAGTTAGGCTCTTGGCTTTTGACTGCGTTACTACTCTTCCATTGTCTTTGAGGAAATCACTATCCCATTGAATCAGGAAATCGACACACAGTCCATGCTTACATCCTATCAAGTAGCACTGAGCTTGCCTAATGACAATCACACTTCAATTTAATCTAATAATAACCATCTTCATCATTTTGTCAGGGTGCATTAATTACTGGAAATGGAGTGCAGGACCACTATTTGAGAATGCTCTCTGGGTTTTACAAAAAAAGAGCACCTATCTGCATGCCAGATGATGTTTAACTTAAGCTAATAACAAATGCCTTTAGCTAGTCCTAGTGTTTGCCCTTCAAAGATGCCCTGCTAAGACCCGGTGCTTCTGTCTCCTTAATTATTCCCATGTAAACAAGATTTAATTATTCTGTCAAGTCCCACAAAGATGGTGGCTTTCATACTTATTTTTGTTTGTACCCAATTTGATGTTAAAAACTAAATAATAAAAACAAAAAGAAGAAGGAACAAACTATACTTTATTCTTTTACTATGAACTGGGAAAAAAAGTTAAAAAATTTTGTTGGAAACAAGACTTTTGGATTGGGCATTTTATGCTTTATAGTAAAAGATAATAAGCTCTTCATCAAAGAAAAAAATAAGAAACTTTTTCCATCAAATTTCCAATGATTAGCTTAATTGTAAAATTGTTAATGCTACAAAACCAACATTAGTATAAGATTCATCAACCAGAATGCAATGACACTCTTGGTTAATCTTTGAAAAACAGTTAAATACAATACTTGAGAGATCAAAGGCTTCACGCCCCACATATAATTGAATACCTACTGGGAAAAAAAAATTGAATACCCTTACCTTCATATGGGTAACATTGTAGATACACCAGTTATAGGAGTTGAGTACCAATTTTCAGCAGTTCAAAATGCAAGGGCACATTCTCCTGGCTTCATCCTTACCTACATATACAATACAAGCACATTATAGTACAACTATAATTATATATGGCATTTGAGGCATATATCAATATATTGAGGCATTAAATAGGTTGTAGGACATTCGGGAAAAATATTAAAAATAAATAAATAAGGCTGTAGGACAAACCAGCTACTTGAACAAGGTTAGAAAATGGCTAAATTAGAGGGTGGCTTATGAGATGAACAATCCAAATACTGTGAAATTAACAAAATCAGCTTGAGCTTGATTTGGTAAGTGAAGAGTTCTCCATCATTAAATGAAAATCCAAGCTTCTCAAACTCAAAGAAATATCGGCACAGGTAGAAGTTGATCGAAATCATTCATAAGATAAATGAGCCAATTTCCATCTTCACTTCTCATTAATTTTTTAAGCCAAGTTTAAAAAACCCATAACTCAACTTGGCTCTGCTCTGTAAAGTTCTCCCTATGGGTGTGTGTGTACACACACACATGTTATAAAAGAAAGAAACTCTCATTGTGTAGGAACAAACTTCCAAGGCATTCCATCAGCCACCTCAGTAATAAACTGCACCAGAATCTTCCTGTGAGAACCAATGGTCCAATACCAATAATAATACATTGAAAATGAAGATGTCTACAAAAATGTATACAGCAAAGTGTTGTTCCGAAAAATATGTGGATTGTCACACTTACATTTAAAAGAATAATGCATATTTCTAAAACTAGTCCTCTTACTCCCATTTGCTGGTTTGGTTTAGAATGAGTTTAAAGTTGAGTCGTACTATATGAGCGTAATGCGAATTGAAGAGGGTAATATGATTAATGTATTGGATCTTTAGTACTAAGATGTCTTTAACACCAATGATTAATGTATTGGCTCTTACTCCCATTCACCCCAAGTTTCTAACCTCATAATCCAGTACTTTCCAAATTAACCATTAAATTGAACTGATCAAACATTCTCCACCCACCACAACAACACCCGATACAGTACTGTATATGATATGCATAAGAAATATATTAAATAGGATTCTGAAAAGAAAAAATAACCACAAAACAAAATTCATGAAGTCTGAAGGTAAATTTTTCATAATAAAAAAAATCAAGGAGATGCCAATTTTGGGCCTCACTTTTATTCTCTTTCCTCTAATCACTTTGCTAATAAAACTAAATTGTGCCTCAGGAAACATTTTATCCCATAGCATTAGCTTTCTCTCTCCAAAACTTCAAAAAAGTTTCACCCCAAAACTTGGCTGTCCAATGATATGAAATGGGTTAAAGATGTAGAAGGTCCTTGGACGCTTTCTAATGTGACCATATAAATACTGGATTTATGTAGCAAATAGAATGTACTTTAGCGTGGGACCCAGCTTCAACTTCAAAGGGCATCTTTAGCTAAAAGTTTAAAACTAAGATTTTGAAATTGTCATTCCTCCCTAGTTGGTTTGTTCAATGGTGAGTTAGGCTCTAGGCTTTTGACTGCTTTACTACTCTTCCATTGTCTTTGAGGAAATCACTATCCCATTGAATCAGGAAATCGACACACAGTCCATGCTTACATCCTATCAAGTAGCACTGAGCACGCCTTGAGCATAAACCACATCTCACCACATGCCTAATGACAATCACAATTCAATTAATCTAATAATAACCGTCTTCATCATTTTGACAGGGTGCATTAAATACTGGAAATGGAGTGCAGGACCACTATTTGAGAATGCTCTTTGGGTTTTACGAAAAAAGAGCACCTATCTGCATGCCAGATGATATTTAACTTAAGCTAATAACAAATGCCTTTAGCTAGTCCTATTGTTTGCCCTTCAAAGACGCCCTGCTAAGACCCGGTGCTTCTGTCTCCTTAATTATTCTCATGTAAGCAAGATTTAATTATTCTGTCAAGTCCCACAAAGATGGTGACTTTCATACTGATTTTTGCTTGTACCCATTTTGATGTTAAAAATAAAAAGAAGAAGGAACAAACTATACTTGAATTCTTTAACTATGAACTGAGAAAAATAAAATAAAAAATTTTGTTGGAAACAAGACTTTTGGATTGGGCGTTTTATGTTTTATAGTGAAAGATAATAAGCCCTTCAGTAAAGAAAAAATAAGGAACTTTTTTCATCACATTTCCAATGATTAGCTGAATTGTTAATGCTACAAAACCAACACTAGTATAAGATTCATCAACCAGAATGCAATGAGACTCTTGGTTAATCTTTGAAAAACAGTTAAAAAAATACAATACTTGAGAGATCAAAGGCTTTGCGCCCACGTATTATTGAATACCTACTGGAAATAAAAAAAATAAAAAAAACCATTACCTTCATATAGGTAACATTGTAGATACACCAGTTACCATTACCTTCATATAGGTAACATTGTAGATACACCAGTTATAGGAGTTGAGTTTCAATTTTCAGCAGTTCAAATGCAAGGGCACATTCTACTGGCATCATCCTTACCTACATACACAATACAAGTACATTATAGTACAACTATAATTATATATGGCATTTGAGGCATATATCAATATATCGAGGCATTAAATAGGCTGTAGGACATTCATGAAAAATATATAAAATAAATAAATAAAGGCTCTAGGACAAACCAGCTACTTGAACTTGGTTAGAAAATGGCTAAACTAACAATCCAAATACTGTGAAATTAACAAAATCAGCTTGAGCCTGATTAAGTAAGCGGAGCTCTCCATCATTAAATGAAAATCCAAGCTTCTCAAACTCAAAGAAATATCGACTCAGGTAGAAGTGAGATCGAAATCATTCATAAGATAAATGAGCCAATTTCCATCTTCACTTTTGAGCTCATTAATTTTTTAAGCCAAGTTTGAAAAACTCATAACTCAACTTGGCTCCGCTCTCTAAAGTTCTCCCTATGGGTGTGTGCATGTGTGTTTTTGTGTGTATATATACACACATGTTATAAAAGAAAGAAACTCTCATTGTGTAGGAACAAACTTCCAAGGCATTCCATCAGCCACCTCAGTAATAAACTGCACCAGAATCTTTCTGTGAGCACCAATGGTCCAATACCAATAATAATACATTGAAAATGAAGATGTCTACAAAAATGTATATACCAAAGTGTTGTTCCAAAAAAATATGTGGATTGTCACACTTACATTTAAAAGAATAATGCATACTTTTAAAACTAGTCCCCTTACTCCCATTTGCTGGTTTGGTTTAGAATGAGTTTAAAGTTGAGTCGTACTATATGAGCATAATGCGAATTGAAGGGGTAATATGATTAATGTATTGGTTCTTTAGTACTAAGATGTCTTTAACACCAGTGATTAATGTATTGGGTCTTAATACTAAAAAAGAATACAAAATTTTGAATAAAATAAAATAAAATAAAAAAATACCAATTATATGATTCCAACTTTGTTCTAATCGGAAAGGAAACAGATTACTACTAAAGTTCTAATCAACAAGGCCCGGTATGAAAGACTCGGGTGGTGGTGATTTTTCCAACTTGAGATTGTCGGGCAATCTATTTTTGGCATTAAGAAAAAAGAAAAAAAAAAAAGATGGCCCGACATGCTCAAGATCGAGAAATAATATTTCTTTCAACACTCTAAAAACGTAAGGCCTTGTGTCATTATTGATAAGGTTCAGAAACAGAGTTCTTCATAAAAATCAAGAGACTCTTATGTCCCCTCTCGGGGCTCAACAATAATCTCATACCAAATAGATTGGCAGAACCTCCAACGTAGAGGGACTGCAGCAAAACTACATCCCATGATTGCAAATACCAATCCCTTTAGGAAGAAAAGTAAATTCTGTGATTTCTTGTTCTCTAGCAGCATGAATAGCATAGTGGCAATGAAAACCAAGCAAATAACTGGACCTCCCTAAACATGGATTTTTCAAAGGTGAAAGTGACCACACTAGTCCAACAACCCAGTAATAAATTCATGTTTCGACATCAAACTCCATAAATATTAACTGGAACCTCGCAAATATTCAGTACCAATTGGTCAAACAGAATCATGCACGGCACTAGAGCTTTGCCTACATCAAGAACAAGGGTTTTGTCTACATGAAACAATTCTCAATAAACAAGCCTCTTAAATTATAATTTTACATTTATATACGCAAATATATTATATGTATATATATCACGATAATTTTAGGCATATTGCAAGGTACACTAAGATTAACACTATTTAAGGTGCATTACCTTGATTTGATTCATGAGGAACATGATGTAGATTTCTATTAAGGTTAGGCCGAATAAGACGACGAAATTTTGAAGCCAATGTATTCCCTTCTTTTGGTTCCCGGCAATACATTTGAAACCCAAAAAACAAAAAATAAAAAAATAAAAAACTAAAAATCCAGCCTTTTTGAATAATCCTGCATGGAGATTTTGAATATTTCATTTTCTAAGCAACCAAACACCAAACGATCATAGTTGTTTTAAACAATTCCTATTTTTCCTCGAATTTATCGGGAACCAAACAAAGCAGAGGAGCTAAATTAAATCTAAGATCAGGAACAGAGTACCTCTCTTTCGAGTTCTTGACACGTCCAGAAAACCCCAGTTTCACTCGATGAGACGCGAATTGGAGAGAGCGGGGACTGGGGAGTAGGGGAGGTGAAAAGCTACGAAATTACAATTTGGTCCCAAGTTGCCCAACATTTGTCTCGGGTCAACACTATCTCGGTTAGGTAAATATACCTCATTTTAAACCCGAATTTTACCCAATTACTGTTGTTATTTTTACCATAAATACTACTCCATATACTCGTATCTATTAAAATTAATTAATACTTTCATTTCAGTCTGTATAACAATTTTTTTTTTCTTCTTATTAGGTAAATACTTGCAATGCTTATTAAGGCTGGTAGTCTTTAAAACATATCTTACTGTAGCTATAAAATAAAATTATAATGAACCTAAATATGAGTTAAGTTTTTATTTTTATTTTTTGTTTTCCTCTCAACGATCATTTTTTTGACAATTTATTGGCCAATTTTCTCATATATATATATATATATATATATATATATATATATATATAAATCATTATACACTTTATTATGGATTCAGATTTTCTCTTTGTACAAATTTTGATACCACACTTTGCTATGCATACATGTCACACTTTTACTTCAAAAATATAACATCAATTCAAAAGGTACAAACAACACCAGAATGCAACTCTTAAATAAATATATTACTGAGGATACCAGAAGGAATATGGGCCGGATATGATCCGCAGACATGGCATCGGGTCAAACAAGTGAATTCAGCCCATACAGGAGCACCGCAGAATGGGCCGAGCCCGAAGATCCATCGAAGAAGGCCAAGCCCATTGAAAAGAAGGCCCAAAACTGATAGTCCAGCAGTACTTGTAATTGCCTATAAAAAGGCAGTAAAGAGAGTGAAAGAGGGGAGGATTATTTTTTTTAATTGAAAATGTAATGAGATTCTGTCCAAATAGAGAGAGAAAATTCTTTGCATCTTCAATTGGCGCCGTCTGTGGGAATCGTTGAAGGTTGATTCTTGTTTGATTAACGTCATGTTGATTCAGACTGATTGGTGATGACGAAGCTTGATTTCTAGAAGTTTAATCTAGATCTAAGAAATTGTGGCTTGCTCTTAAGAAGTTCTTGATTCTTGATTGATTTTGAGAAATTGGCGTTAGGTTTACGCAGCTATGATTCACTCTATCGCGGCTCGATCCAGCAAGCTTAGACGCCAGAAAAGCTCTGATCTATCGAAGGGAGAACATAACTCGTAAAATTTGAGTCCAGATCTGACGTGATTCACGTCAACGAGACTCAAATCTAACTTAGAATTTGTGATTCATGCCTTTGCTCCGTTCTGGAATGATGACTGGGGGTGAGAACTCCAATGCGGTAGAGAATGTCCAACAGATGAAACTTGATGAGTTGATGAGCATGATCGAAGCTCTCACGAGAGAGAATGCAGATCTAAGGATTGAAATGCAATGTCAAGAAGTTCCGGTGATTCTGTGACCGCCCCCGGCAGGAGAAGAAGTTGTACGTACTGATGCGGCACATCACGGTGAGGAGGTAGGGAACAATCAGACAGATCTTCACCGCGAAGAGGTCCGGCCAAACGATTTGCCGCCAAATCCTCGTCGTGTTGATGATCATGAAAGATCAACTCACGTGGATCCACGGCGTGAACAGGTCAGGCGAAACGAAGCCATGACTTTCGATCCACATCAAGAAATGCTCAGCCGAGAAGAAGCAATGAAGTTTGATCGCCACAAAGCTATACCGCCATGGCACAAAGAGTTTATTGAAGAAAGATCATTCGATCCGACTTATCAGCCTTACATGGCGACGCTCGACTATCGAAGCTCAGAAAGGAGATCTGTAGTTCAGAAAGCAACCGCAGGGTTCCAGAGGGAAAATGAAGCCCTCCGTTCAGCAGCTTGAACGGTTGATTCGCCGTTCACCGATGAAATTCTGAATGCTCCGAGTCCGAGGAAATTTTCCATGCCCGTTTTCATTCTGTTCGACAGAACGACCGATCTGATTGATCATGTATATCACATCCAGTTGAAAATGGCTCTGAACACCGAGAATCATTCCTTGATGTGCAAGTGCTTCCCTACAAGTCTAGCTGGACCAGTTCTCAATTGGTTCAAGAACCTGCCGAGGGGCTTAGTGGATAGTTTTCGAAGCTTGTGTGACCGGTTCATAAGCCAATATTATGGAAATAAACGTCCAGCAAATGACATTTCGAGCCTATTCACAATGAAGCAGCATGAGGACGAACGTCTTCAAGCTTTCCTTACCAGTTTTAACCTTACTAAAAGCATGGTGATTGAATGTCATCCTTCTACGGCGGTTCAAGGGTTTATATTGGCCATAACTCGTGGCACTCCATTCCATACAAGCTTGGTAATGAATACGCTGAAAACTATGGATGAACTTAATGAAAGAGCTGATGGATTTGTGCGCTAGGAAGAAGAAGAGGCAGTTAACGCTCGGAAGACATCCATCATATCAACAGAAGAGAAAACCAAAGCAAAGATCAGACAAAAGCAGGTTCAGCCACAGCGTCAGACCTCGTGGAAACCTGAGAAGAGGCCCAGGGAGGAAGAGCTGGTTACTCCATTGAAAGTCACCTTACCAAGGCTGTACCAAGAAAATAAAGATAAGTTCCGGTCTCCTTTACCAATCAGACAACCCCTCGAGCAGAGGGATCAATCTAAGCATTGTGCATTCCATTCTGACTTTGGCCATCAGACTAATGAATGCAAGAACTTAAGGAGACAAGTAGAGATGCTGATAGACAGAGGGGAGTTCGCAAGTTATATTCAAGGCCCGATGGTGGAACAGAACCGACCGATGGAGCAAGTGAAGAGGAATCAGAAGTCGAACTCCCACAATACGCAACCAGTTCGAATAATCAATGCAATTCATTGTCGCCCTGAACCTACTGAGGAGTAAGATGAACTGCTTCGAACACGCCTTCGCTAGGCACAGATGAAGAGGAGGATAGGCAGTGTAAACACTCTGCACCAGCAGAGTGTATCAACACAGATCAAGTTTGACAGAACCGACCTGTTACGCGTTCAAATTCCTCACAAGGATCCATTAGTCATCAGTTTGACGGTAGCAGAATGCCTGGTAAGATGAGTCCTGATTGATCTTGGGAGCAGTGCGAATGTTATACGGAGGGACACATTCGATCAGCTCGAAATAAAACCCGAGAAGCTCAAGCCCACTTCAAATCCCTTGCTAGGGTTCGATGGAAAACGGGTTCGAAATAAAACGGATGGAAAACCAGTTCGAAGTTGCAGTACAGGCTGCAGAAAGGGTTCTGATAGAGAGCTTTGTGGTAGTTGAGATCCACCCGTCTTACAACCTTCTGATGGGCAGATGGTGGATTCATAGAGTTCAGGGTGTTCCCTCAACTCTGCACCAGGTAATGAGGTGCTTAGAGCCTGACGGAAATAAGGTAATTGACATTCATGGGGACCAGGTTGCAGCTAAGGAGTGTTATTCTGTGACGATGAAATCTGCTGGGAAAGGAAAAACAGCTATTTGCTCGAAAAGCTCGAAATAGCAATTACAGGAACCTCTACCCACACAGAATGGGGAGGAGCCTATGGACTTAACTGAAGAGCCTCTTGCTGATGTGCAGATCCACCATGACAGGCCAGAGCGAACAACCAAAGTGGGAATAAGACTTGCCGAGGACGAAAAGTGGGAGCTAATTGATTTTTTGTCTCGGAATGCTGATGTGTTCGCATGGGGTCACTTAGACATGCCTAGAATCAGTCCTTCTGTATCCTGTCATTCCCTTAATGTTAATTCGACCATGAAACCTGTAAGGCAGAAGCAGAGAAAGTTTGCTCCAAAACGCAATCAGATTATAGCCGAAGAGGTTAATAGGTTACTTAATGCAACGTTCATTAGGGAAGTACAGTACCCAGATTGGCTCTCAAATGTTGTCGTTGTGCCAAAGAAAAATGGCAAATGGCGAGTGTGTATTAACTTACCAATTTAAACAAAGCCTATCCGAAGGATAGCTTCCTGCTCCCAAAGATTGGCCAAATGGTAGATATTACCATGGGGTACGAGCGTTTAACCTTCCTAGATGCTTATTCAGGCTACAATCAAATCCCCATGAACCCTGCTGATGAAGAGAAAACTTCTTTCGTTACCGAACGAGGGACTTACTGCTATAGAGTCATGTCGTTCGGACTAAAGAATGTAGAAGCAACCTACCAGAGGCTGATCAGCAAGATTTTTAAAGATCAGATGGGAAAAACTGTGGAGGCTTACATTGATGACATGGTGGTTGTGATACCCCTTGGATCTGAGACACGGGTTGATCAGGCCCAGGCCCAAACCCGAGGGAATATTAAACAATTAATATTTTGTAATGAACACAGAATACAAAATGAATTAAGAAATGAAATTAAAGCTGAAAGGAACTAAAAATAGAATCCGCAAAATATTATAATTATTAAAATCCATCAAACCCAAACTCCAAAACTCCATCAGTTTACAACTCGGGAATCCATCTCTAGTGGACCCCTATTAAACATCCAAACGGAAGATAGAACAACTGTAATAAACATCCAGAAATAAAACTATAGAGAGAGCCCTACATCGTCGGAAGAGTGAATAGAGACCTCTGCTCAGCACGAACACGTCTAAGCCTGGAACTGTCGTGTACCTGAAAAATAGAAGTGGGTCAGGCCCACGCGCAAGTTCTATACTACTACAATCCAAACAGAGGTCCGATACGCATGTACATCCTAAACAATTCAACAATAGCTAATAGTCCGTAAATATATATATAGTCACACTAAAGGACTCTCACTAGACTACAGGCCGGTCTCAACCTGAATAGAGGTAACATGCTAAAACGCACACGAAGTGGGCATATGTACCTATACCTAAACAGGGTACACCTCTAACCATCGTATCCAGCTATGCATCCCAATGCATATACGCTTCCTAACCGTCGATCCTGAGACTCAAGCTCATATCGAGGTACCATAACAATATATTTAAAGTCCATCCCGAATCCTAGTAGTGCCGCTCAACTAGTCGTTGCCATGACACTACAATTAATAGGACTTAA